AACTTGGTTGATAATTGCATGTTTTAGTGATTAAAGATTATAAGATACAAACAATTTCAAAGTACATTTTCACAAATATCTTAAAAAAATAAACGAGCAAAACATACGACTTCATATCAATTAGATGTCAGAGTTTGAAGATGAGCGGTCACGAATTGATAGAGTTTATGAAGGAAGACAACAATGCCAGACATTTAGCTCTATACCTTTCTCTTCATTTAATGGGCAAGGTAAGCAGTTAATTATGATAATTAGTAAATTAATATTTGCAGTGCAATACAAAACAGTTTGGTTGAAATTATCAAACATTTTACTAACACCACTGTCAACATTTGTCGCCACCATAAAGTTGATTTTTTTTCTTTAAATATTTTTCCACCATTGAATGTTGCTCCAGTTATTTTCATGTGTAAATTGCAAGTGCTGACAGTTTTTGTGAAATATTTTGGATGGATGAAAACATGCATTATTTTTTTCAATATTCTTGTTCAATACTGCATAATGTAGACCAAACTGGTTTATCAAACTGTAACTTAACAGTCTTTATTAGATGAAAAATCAAAACCACAATTGCGTATATGCAGTGATTGTTTTTGTACATACCAGTGCATTTGAGAATTCCATTGCTGAACTGTACTTGAATGTGAGCTACAAGAAATCAGTCCAATGTATTTATCAATACGCATTACCAGACAATACCAAAATTTAAATTTATAAAATGTCTGCACTACACAAATCAGTCAAAATAATTGGAAGTCAGAGCGAATTTTACAAATAGTGAGAGGAGTATATGCAATATTCACATGTCAGATGTCTAACACTTTCTATACAGTCAACTGTTCCAGTAATCGCAAAGCATGAACTTTGCCATGTACAAATGACGAGGATAGCCAGTTCATTGGAGTAAATAAATACCTAACCACTAAATGCTATGTTACATGTGCAGGGGGTTTGTGAAAAATAGAAAACAATACAAGACAAGAAACATTGTACTCTTTGATTTAGATTGTCTAATCCACACGTTAAATGCCCAGATATGCTATATGTATTGGATATATTGAGAGTACCGGTATCACAACTTTGGCAGTAATCTAGGACAGAAAAGGACATTACATAATCGCATACACTTCTAATAGATCGAATTTGATACTCTGATTATTACATTACACAAAGCTCTACTAAATCAATCAATTAGCCATCCAGGAGCACTCACTCATTGAAACAAACAAGATGGAGGACAACAAACGTGCTTTAAACATATTAGCCATGATTAGGTACTCTCCACACAAGATTTGAAATAAAAAACATATCTTCAAAATATATATAAAGGAAGAAATGAAATTTAGGGAATTACCAATTATCATATACATTTCTCAACATGCTATATACTTTCTGAAAGTCTGACAGAAAATCTTAAAAATATAACAAAATTTAAAAAACACCTGTGATCAAATTCACTATCAATTTTTGTCACCCTTCCCAATGAGCTGAACTTGCGCATACAATCCCACATTTGTGTTTCTTGCACATGAAATTTAAAAAAAAAAAAATATTCACCTGCTGAATTTATATTCAGTGTAATATGGAGTTTCAACAAATTAGTAAAATCTCATGGCAAGGTTACTTTAATACTGGATTAAATCTAATAAGGGTGAAGAAAATTAGAATTTGGTTTGACATTTACAATTACAAAATGTTTCTTCAGGTTAACCTTTTCACCATCAGTTCCCACAGATTTAATCCAGTTTATAGACCACACTTTTCTTTCAGAAGATTTGGAAAAATGACCAACATATTTTTTGAGTAATAACAGAAAATTGACTCAAATTTTCCCCCAAAATATTGAAAAATATAAGATAAAAGTATAGAAATATTTGGGTGAGAAGGCCTGATGGTGAAAAGGGTAAAGAAAACCATTGGCAGCAATAATAAATGACACTTGAAATGTCATGCCAAATTAGCATATGGTTTATAAGCATAGTTGCATACAATTTTGATTTATCTATTTATTTGCAGTCGGTCATGTGATAAAAGGTCATCTTTATCACCTGATATCATTAATTCATAGAGCTTGTTGATACAGACGACGTCATGGACTATGATTTGTGGATAGTACTAGCCTGTGACATCACATACACCAAACAGGTGATATATGTCATCCCTCCACTTTTAATTTCAACACAACCTAAAACTAAGTTTCACACCTAAACACAAACATGTATCCCTTGGTTCCAGGATTCAATCCCCGAAAATAACAAGCACCAATTTTTAATAACACTAAAGGCAACTTTTTATTACTTTTAGGTAGCATTCTCTAAATGTAGGCTAAAATACCAAATAAAAGACAAGCAGCCTGTCAGCTGAAATAGCTCAGCAGCTTGTCATGCATAGTCTGAAGGCAATCTGATTAGAATACAAAAGTTGAATTGAAAATATCCTTGAACTGCAGATGCTAAAAAGTGTTCGCATGTGAAATGAATTTAATATTCTTTCAAGTTTACTAAACAACCAACATGCCGCTATTTCTACCTCAACATTGCTCATGCTACTTAATAAGATTTATTCAGAACAGATTTAATAAATATGTAAATTAATCAATTCATATTCAACTACACAATGCATGTACAAGTTTTAAATTCATTTGAGCTAAATGTTAGACATCAATGATTTAAAGTAATTACTAGTAATCAGTATGCAAATTAGCTAATTAACACATGCGATTAATAACCACGAAGCATTAGACATTCAACTGCAGTTGATCTTGAAAGTGATCTTGAAGTTTCAACCAATTTGAGCCGACTATTGCGATATCAACAAAACAAACTAGGAGCAGTTAATTAGTATGCAAATTACCTAATTACTATACATGATTAATAACTAAGGAGTACCAGACATTCAAAACAAACAATATCCATGTACCAAGTTTTAACCCATTTGTGCAAACTGTTAGGATATCAAAATAACATGCTAAAAGTAATTATTTTTATGCAAATTACAAAATTAATATGCACTTTTTTTATCATCAGATCAGATCCGTAGTGTATGTGTACTAAATTTCATTCCAATTGAGATATTAGTGGAAAAAGATTTGATCCATCCAAACAGTGGTATGACATTAAGCAACCCATTGTGCTTTGCACACAGGAGCCAAAAAACAAGGTACAGACATAAAAAACATTAAAGCATTTTCAAGAAGAAGTTTTTTTTACAAATATATTCACTGAAATTAGAGAATTAAAACTAACATCATAAAATGATAAAATTTGAGAGAGTACCACCAAACAGATGTACCTATAGCAAATATCTAAGCTCTATGGTTTTGAAAATGCCAAAAATGTAAAATTGACGCCATCACACGACAATCAGTAATACAAATAGCTACAAATTTAGAATTGAAAAATCGTTCATTTCAGAGAATTATTTAGTTTACATTGACACTACATACAAATATTCAAGTTTATTGAAAGTGATAGAAAATAAATTTGGATTCTATGCTATTGCTTTTTGAAAATATTAGTGACTTTATGAAGTCCTGTATCACAATACAAAGATATTATAAATAACTTTGGCATGGCAGACATATTTCAATTTATGTTTTTGATATGATAAGCATTTCCAGACTGTTTTGAGAGGACTGTCAGCAAGTAATATATCCATATTTCTAATGTCCTTGTATACAATATTTGCTCTATTAGTAGCGAATGCTCTTGCGTAAATGACAATGGTCAATAATTAATAATAATCCACTAATAATTCAATAAATTAAACTGTTGGTTTACGTAAGAGATGTGCTTCTAACAGAGCAAATAGAGTATCATTTGGCATTAAGGTCGGTAATGCAGAAACCGATTGCATATGTATTAATATATTTCGAAAACTTTTGTAAATCCTAAAAATGCTTCAAACAACTGAAAATCAAAGATAAATATTTATTTTTACAAAAAGATAATTTGTTTAGCATCAAGTAAGTTTTTTAACCACTTAGTACAATTCACACATATTTCATGAATACACCAGCCGTCAATCTATGGGCATTTGCTCTCGCTATGTCACTCATTTCTAGGTATGATGCTATAAGTCACTTGATCTCCAGATGATTAACAATGCTTACGCTGATATCATTAATTCAGCCAATCTACAGCTGACCACACTGAGATATCACTAGCAATATACCTAGGCACAAGAGAAGTAGTGTATAGAGAGTGGCACCACATATATTCTCGGCTATTGAATTGATGACGTTTTCAATAAATATTTGTGTTAAAAAAATGATTTCTTTTTTTTTTACTGTTTTAAAATCGCAAGAAAGATTCCCTATACAGTGAACATGCAGGTACTGCGCCTTTTCAATATTTGATCATTTCGGGTCGAAACTGATATTTACGACAGCTTTTCCAAAAAATAAAATAAAAGAGTAGCACCTGAAGGTCCTCATTCATATGGTACTGAAAATAGTTATTTTAGTGAATATCTTAGGTAAACTAACTAGAATCTTCTGTTTTTAGGACAATGGCATGAGTGAATGATAGAATGGGGAATTCATATGCAAATTAGTTCAATTGATATGCACAAATTTTATTTTTCTCATATTCTTCTATATCAGAACACTAACATTTCTTCTGAATTGGGCAACGAGATCTCAATATACTAGAGATTATGCACATATACCAATTAATGAGTTTGTATGTCTGTACTTAAGAATTCATAATTCATTTGAATTCATTGCTGAAATACAACTATAATTATGCTGAAATATATGTAATTAATTTAATTGATATGCAATGATTTGTACACAAATTCTTGACAAAGTATCTAATACTAAATCTGGTTTCAAATAGATGACTGGTTCTTCAGATATTGGTGAATAAAAGTTGTGTACAGACAGACAGACATTGATAATATTGATAAGACATAGGCCCCCAATTTTGTGCTCTGCACAACAGAAGTACAACACATTAAAAACAAAATGTAATGTAATATATTTAATTGCACAGAATGTTGGCAATGTGGTATCAAAAACTTCAAGGTGATATAAATTAAGCACAAATTAATGGAAGAATTTTATTTCTGGGGACTCTCTTCATCTTCATCTTCCTCCGCCTCCTCCCTCTCCTCATCTTTTGCTTCTTCATCTTTCAATGACTTCAAAGCTTCAACTTCTGCCTCTGCTCTAGCTTTCTCTGCCTTCTCTTGTTGCGCTTTTAGGGCACGGAGAGCACGTCGAGCGGCTGCTGATTTGGCAATACGATAGTTTCTTCCAATGCCGCGATACGTTCCTTTCCCTGCCACTGTTACTGTCACACGTGTTTTTCCATCCATTGTTTTCTCTGGTAAACTGAAAAGCAAATAATATTACACCATGATACTAGGCCATAATTCAGAAACCTCATTCTTATTTTTACATGAACATGTGCCTATATTTCAGATTGGTTAATAACTTGCTAGTTTTTAGAAGTCCAATCCTACCAGGCTTGGAACCCTATTATTATCATTTAAATCCACACTGAACGGAATGGTCTCAAATTTTCTTTTATGATACACCCTAATGTGAACTGGTGCACCTGTCTTTCAGAATTTTGATTCATCCCTTGGTTTGACTGTTATATCGGATTGAAATTAAACTGGAAGTGGCCAAGGGTTTTGGCAATCTAAATTTTTATGACATATACTATAACTCGTGTACAATAGATATCAGCAATAAAAACTTAGTGGGCATGTGACTTTTTCTGCCATGTTTTTTTTCCTGAAAAGTAAAAAAAATGCTTGAAAATCTTCTCTAGAACCACTGAACACATTGTTTTTGAAAACTCTGTTCTTAGCATCTTTGTGAAGTGTATTAAAGTTTGACAATTTTTTTTACAATAGAACACATGGTTTGGTCGCCATTTTGGATTTCCAGAGTACCGGTAGCTTTTTTCACTGATGCCACAGTTATATGATTATATATTGAATGCATTCAGACTGCTAAATTACAATTCAAATCAGTCACTTGGTTTGGCCACTATTTTGTGCATTTGTTTCTCATGAGGAATTTAACCAAACAACTGATTATTTGGCATGTAGCATGTATGACCAAACCTTTTTATGAAAAAAATTGAATAATTTTGGTAAGTCACATGGTTTGGCTGCCATCTTCGATTTCTGGCAAAACTGTCCTTCATTTTGGACATTTGTCTCCTGTGAGTGCTTTAATTAAGCAACTTGATACTAGTATATTGTGTGTAGCTGACATCTTGGATTTTCTGCTAAAATGTTTGACATTTGTTTCTTTTGAGTGCTTTAACTGATCAACTCGATATTTGGCATGTAGCATGTATGGCCCAAAATCTGTACAAGAAAATAAAATACTTGTGATCAGTCACATGGTTTGGTTGAATTTTTGGTAAAAATGACCCAAATTTGGGCATTTGTTTCACATGAAGACTTTAACCAAGAAATTTGATATTTTGTATATAATATGTATAGGGGAAAAAAAATAATCAGTCACATGGTTTTGCTGCCATTTTGGATTTTCAGCAACAGTGCCGAAATTTTTTACCATTTGCTTAAATGTAATATATTCATAATACTGCATGCAATGATTGCTTATAGACGGCACTGCACAACAGAAAACAACCTGTCACTTGACTCGTTTGAATTCCGCTGATGTTGCTTGCGGCTTTAATTTTGATAATATATTCATTATTGAACCCTACACCATCATGGATATCAGCAAAATTCTTCCATATTTTGATAATTTACTTCCTTATTTAATGCCAGAGGTTAAATGCCAGAAGACAACCTAATGTCATCACAATACATCGGCTGTACGTTTTCAGACCTATCTTTTTAAGATGAGCGATCACTCGCAGGTAATGCATTTATACAAAATAGAGGAGCTAAGAAAACCCTCCTCAAATGTTTTTTTTTCAATCCAACACATGCAAAATTATTTCTTGACACATTGAATTCCCTCCCATAACTTACCTCAGTACGTTTAGGAGTGTAATTTTTCACTCGCCAGCCATATTAAAAAAAATAAGATCTAGTTTTTCTTTTTCTTGTTTTGAAGGGCCTTTGAACTCACTCCACGGCTGACATTCCAAAATTGAAGTAGTGGAATTAAAGGCTAACAGTTACCTAGTTTTTTTTTGCTGAAAATCGAAACTACTCATCATTATGTATAAAAAGAACTCACCCAAATCTAGCAGTTTCTGGTTCCATTTCTAACAGTTCTCTGACAGGAGAAATCGGCACTTTAGCAGAATACTTATCTGTGATGGGAAAATATTTACAAAATACTCTTCAGTGTGTGACCAAAGAAGTGTTATATAAACATTACACTGATGCAATTAGCATTCATTAAATAGAAATAGTACATGCTGATGCAGAGGAGGAAT